AATTTTTTTTCAATTATTTTTTATGCAAATAATTGAATTATTGGGAAGAAATTTATAAAAAAATTAGTAAGTAATTGAATTTTGCAGAAGAATGTTAATATTTACAAAGATAATTGAAATTTTGAAGGGAATTTAAAAGAATAATTTTTTTGAAAATAATTGAATTTCTGTGAAAAATTTGATTACTTTTGAAGATAATTGAATTTTGCAAAAAATCGTATCAGAAATTTTGAAAATAATTAATTTTCCAGGATGAATTTTATTTTTTATGAAGATAATAGAAATTTCAACGAGGAATTTAAAAAAAATTTTGAAAATAATTGAATTATTACAAATATTTTTATTAATATTTGAAAGTAATTAAATTCATAAGAAGAATTTTATTTTAAATTTGTGAAAATAATTGAATTTTTGCGAAGAATTTTATTACTTTTGAAGATAATTGAATTTCTAGGATGAATTTTATTTTTTATGAAGATAATAAAAATTTCAATGAGGAATTAAAAAAAAATTTTGAAAATAATTGAATTTCTGCGAAAAATTTGATTACTTTTGAAAATAATTGAATTTCTAGGATGAATTTTATTATTTATAAAGGTAATTGAAAATTTGACAAGAACTTTATTAAAATTCTTTGCAAATAATTGAATTTCAGAGAAGAATTTTATTACTTTTGAAAATAATTGAATTATTACAAATATTTTTATTAATATTTGAAAGTAATTGAATTCATAAGAAGAATTTTATTTTAAATTTGTGAAAATAATTGAATTTCGGCGAAGAATTTTATTACTTTTGAAAATAATTGAATTTCTAGGATAAATTTTATTATTTATAGAGATAATTGAAATTTTGACAAGAATTTTATTAAAATTCTTTGCAAATAATTGAATTTCAGAGAAGAATTTTATTATTCACAAAGATAATTGAAATTTTGAACAGATTTTTTTAAACAGTGTTTAAAAGTAATTGAATTTTGCAGAAGAATTTTGATATTTGTAAACATAATTGAAATTTTGAGGAGAATTTAAAAAAAAATTTTTGAAAACAATGAAATTTTTATGATGAATTTTATTGTTTATAAAATTTTGGCGAAAATTTTTAAAAAAAATTTTGAATATAATTGAATTTTTTCGAAGAATTTTATTACTTTTGAAAATAATTGAATTTCAGGGAAGAATTTTATTATTTATATAGAGATAATTGAAATTTTGACAAGAATTTTATTAAAATTTTTATTAAATAATTGAATTTCGAAGAAGAATTTTATTATTTATAAAAATAATTGACATTTTAAGGAGAATTTTTGAAAAAATGTTAAAAATACGTAATTAAAATTTAGCAATGAATTTTATTAAATTTTTAAAAATTTTATTCCTGATTTTTTGCGATTAATGTATCTGTTGTTGAGAAATGTGATTTTTTTATAATTTTGACAATTTCGTGTTTTTTTTGTCGTTTTTTCTAAAATTTCATGCGAATTTTTTCCGACTTTTTTGGAAATTTTATGCGACTTTTCTTGATTTTTGTTGTAAATTTATGCGACTAAAGCGACTTTTTTTGAGTCTTAAAGACGATCCGAGCCCTGATATAGATAATCGATTTAAAGAAAAATTTTAGTTAAAAATTCTTGTAAATAATAATTGAATTGTAAATGATTTTATCACTCGGTCATGTTTTATATTATGAAAAATTTAATTTATAACTTCAAGTAAAATTTTCTCTTATTTTACTCGAACTGGTTATATTTTTGTCTGTTATTTGAGTTAAATAAATTTTTTTTTCAGAATCAGAATTAATTTAAAAGTTTAAAAAATGTTGGCAAAAGGATTCAAATTGATATATATATATATATATATATATATATATATATATATATATATATATATATATATATATATATATATAACAAAAAAGTCAAAAAGAGTTTCCAATTTTTGGCAAAAAGAATCAATTTGATAACAAACGTACTAAATTGAGACAAATCTTCATATATCAATTTGGTTACTTTTGGGTATCAATTTCATACTTTTAAATTAAATTTAAAAAGAAAAAACATTGCGGAATATTGTAAAATAGTAAATAAAAAATTTCCCCCCAAAAAAGAAGAAGAAAAATTTAGCTTCTCGCAAAATTGATTGAATATCACGAAAAAAATATTTTATCGAGCGCTATTTGAATTCACATCTGATAAGGTCAATTGAACATTGAACGATTCGTGCGTATGCGTAAACGTTGCGAGGGGGAAATAGAATGAGGAAGTGTGACAAAGAGGCAAGTAAGGGCGAGTGAGAGAGAGAGAGAATTGTGAATAACCTTCGCGAAACTTTAAATGTCTGAGTAGTATAGTAGACAGTGTTATAAGAATCGTGTACCATTTAGAAAAACCTTTCTTATAATTAAACCACAATTATCATTCGAGTTAATTAAAAATAGCTAATTACTAAGTTTAATTCGCCTTTTCGATTATGTTAAATCAACTAATATTCAATTATACACTTATCGAAGCCATTCAATTCGTTTTTTCAATCATTAAAATAATTAATTACGAATTTAACTATTTTTTAGTTTTTCCATTTACTGATAATAACAAACAGCAAAGATTTTACTATAACAATCAGTTATGTTTATTAGCATAACTTTATTGGCATAATTATTATTTTTCCTATGAAATTCATTATAAAGACTGAATGAATTTTATAGGAAAAATTAAAAAAAAAAAAAATATATTGAAAATTCAGAAATGAAATGAGTAGTAAATAAAGAAACCAATTGTTTAAACCGAATTGATACTATTTTTTTTAACTTTAAGTAGACTGATAATATCAATTTTCTTGTGGAATTACCATTTTTTTACCTGTTGGTTAAATTACGCATAAAAATGAAGTTTTTATCGTGTAATTGTTATAGTAAATTATTTGAACAAATGGTTTGGAAAAATATTTATAGAATAATTTCGTTTATTGTAATAGGAAAAGAAAAATTTTCGTTTTATTTTTCATTTTCAGCTTATTATTGTTAGAATTCATTGAAAAAGAGTAAATAAACAGCAAAAAAAAAGATTATAATATTCAGTAAAGATGTAATTGTTTAAATAATTGTAAAAAATAATTCTATCTTTTAAAAAATCATTAATTTTGCGTTAATGATTACTCTTGCGTTTTTCGTTACTAGCCTGTGTGAATAGTTTTTAAAATATTTTTATTTCTTTTTTTTTGGGGGGGGGGGGAAATAAAGTCTCAATATGAAATTTTTCATAAAAGCCATATGTCTTAAATTATCTGTATCGACTTTCACATCTCTCGCATTTCTAATTAAGAAAGTCAGCTATTATCCCTTAAGTTAAGTCGAACTAAATCCTGCATACATGATTCTAATTGGCTACCTTCTCACACCACAGTCGTGTATTTGGAACGTAGATTCGGATTCAGATATTTAAACTTCGTGCAATTTCAACTCATTATTGTCTGCTTATCTTTCATTTTTTTTTCAAGAAACGCAGAACCTTTTTTTATTTCCTCCCTTCCGAATTTCTGATAGTCCCTTTCTTCTTAATTTATATTCTCATCGCGTTCAATTTTTTTTTGTTAGATTTTTAATATTTTAGTATACTCATCCAGGGTTGCCAGAAAAATTAAATTTTCTTTTTTCCTGACTGATTTTTACTTTTTTTCTGACCCTAAAAACTATTTTGATTCACTTTTAAAAATAATTAGATACTGATACCGTCACTGGTGGAAGTAACAAGGGCGCATAAGAATAGAGAAACACAGAATTTTCGTAAAGAAAATCGGGTGCTTCTTATTCTAACATGCAGCCCTGTCTTTGGCCGAGCCATTGGCCACGCGCTTTCCTTGCATTTTCCTCCATTTTTTCCTCACGCGCCTCCCTTTCACTTTCGTCCCTTTCACTACGTTCGTCGCTTTCCCTCATTCGCTGTCGGGCTGCCAAGCGTACGGCCCAATTTCTTCCTTCCCCGCGCCGCCTACGCTTTCCCGTCTACCACTCACTTGCTTTCCACTACCACCGGCGCGTCAGGCCCTTTGCTTCGCCTGCCACTTTCTCTCAGTTCCTAATACCCTGGTGTTTTTCCGCGCCTATTTTCAATTTATTTTTTATAAATTATGGATGTTCGCGAGTCACACTATACGTTATATTTTTATATATTAAATCAGGAACATATATAGATATAGGAGGAATCTAATATTTTAATAGTTTAAGTTATTCAACATACGTGGTATTATATATTCTTACGAGGGTATAATAATTACTACGTAAGTATAAGAATAATTTTAACCTATTTTATAAATATTAAATTATCACTTTAGTATTAAGAACTTCGTTTTGTTATTATTTTTAATTGTTAATTAAGTTTTAGAATTAATTAGAATAGGGATGTGTGAGAATCTTTGAAGATAGAGGGAAACTCGCGAGGAGACGCGCGACTTTACCTCTGGCTCAAGCGAAACGCGTGAACCGTACGCGCATTTCGCGGAGTCAAAGATAAGAAGCGCAAGCGCAAACTGACCCTCTCTCTTAAGAAATTTCTCCCACTTTACGTTTTGGAAAAGTCGCGGATGATAAAAGCTGATGCACTGGACCAAAACGTCAGTTCTATCCTGAGCTCACCTAGAGGTTGGTCTTCCTCCTCCGCTCAACTTAACCACTACATTCTGAAATTGTACTTAGAATAAATTGCGAGTTTCGGACTTAGAATAAATCGACGAGTTTATACTTATAAAATTTTCAAGAAAAATTGAACTTAGAAAATTTCGAAGAAAATTGGACTTAGAAAATTTTCAAAGAAATTTGGACTTAGAAAATTTTCGAAGAAAATTGGACTTAGAAAATTTTCAAAGAAATTTGGACTTAGAAAATTTTCGAAGAAAATTGGACTTAGAAAATTTTCAAAGAAATTTGGACTTAGAAAATTTTCGAGGAAAATTGGACTTAGAAAATTTTCAAAGAAATTTGGACTTAGAAAATTTTCAAAGAAATTTGGACTTAGAAAATTTTCCAGGAAAATTGAACTTAGAAAATTTTTCGAAGAGATTGAACTTAGAAAATTTTCAAAGAAATTTTAAACTTAGAGAATTTTTGCGGATCTCCACCCTTAGGGAGTTACCGTAGTGAACCGACCATTGTATCACCATTCGTTTAATAAATCGAAACGAACACAAGCTGTTGTCATCTTTATTCATAATACCTTCCAATGGTGAGTACATACTTCTCTCAATAAGTTCATTACTTCTACCGCCTCCCGAGTTGGTTTCCTCTCGGTCACGTTACACTTACACGGAGTCAAGCTGGTTTCCTCTTGACGTCCCTCACACTCTTGAATTGAGCTGGTTTCCTCTCAAGAAGAGTAACATTAAAATCGAGTTGGTTACCTCTCGATTATAACACACCGAGTTGGTTTCCTCTCGGTCACGTCACACTTACGCGGTGTCAAGCTGGTTTCCTCTTGACATCCACATTCTAAATTTGAGTTGGTTTCCTCTCAAATTGAGTACATTAAAATCGAGTTGGTTTCCTCTCGATTATAACACACCGAGTTGGTTTCCTCTCGGTCGCGTCACACTTACGCGGTGTCAAGCTGGTTTCCTCTTGACATCCACATTCTAAATTTGAGTTGGTTTCCTCTCAAATTGAGTAACAGCTATAATCGAGCTGGTTTCCTCTCGATTATTACCTACACTGTCCGAGTTGGTTTCCTCTCGGACCCATCTCACACATTTTTTTGGATCAAGTTGGTTCCCTCTTGACGTTAGACTGAAACCCATATTCGAGTTGGTTTCCTCTCGATATGAGTAACCGCTAACATCGAGTTGGTTTTCCTCTCGATGTCATCTCCACTCACTGAGTCTGGTTCTTAAGCAACCACACTCATCCGTTTTTTTTGTCCCAGGGTAAGAAGCGGTCCTTACGAAGAGTGGCCCAAGACTGGGCTGAACGAGGTTTGCAGTTCGACGAGTGCCCTTCCGCGCCAATCGAGGAAGTGCAGCTACAAGTAGGAGACGAGTGGCTTTACCGACAATATTGTCTCAGACGAAATAGGCCTGCCCCTTGGGACGCACCACCTCTCCCGTTGCCACTGCCACGTTTCGGTATCGCAACCGTCAACGTCACCGTCCGTCGAGGTGAGCCTGAAGCTGTCTACGCTCCTATCGCCGCTGCCGCCGCCCCAGCTCCAGTAGTTGAAGTTCCGGAAGTAAGAGAACCAGCACGACTTCCTCGTCCCGAAGTTTCGAACTTCGCTTCACGGGAGAACTGGTACTATTTCGACTACGTGTCCTCAAACCGACCCAAGCCACGGGCCGTAGTCAGGCCTACCATCAGCCAACCGCCACAGCCGTCGCTGGTCCCGACGAAGGAGTCAGCTGTCGCACCGGAAGACGTTAAAGTCCACGAGGGCGAAGGATCGTTCAGTCCCCTTGTAGACAGTCCACCTCGATCACCTCCAACCCCAGAGGTACGTCTGCAAGAGAAGAGCCCACCTGAAGCTGAATTGGTAATTGAGGAGGACGTCTTGAATCTCGAAACGTCACCCCTCAGCGGCGGTCCTTACTCCCCTGAAGGAACGCCTGAGGCCACGCGACTGCGACCTACATTTTCTAAGTTGCCGTTAGCGAAACGACGAAAAATTGTCTGCGATTTATTAACTTTATTTTAACATTCACACACTCACACTTATCACCCAAAGATCACACAACAGTATTTGACAGACCACTTGTATTATTAGTACGTAAGAAAGTATGAATAAATTATACATTGTCTTCCTCTAATTCACTGTGTTGTCAATGTCTTAACGTGGAACGTGGTTGGTTTCCTCCTCGTTCTAATATCCCAACCCACATTACAATTTTACTTCACTTTTCCGAGGTTGCGAGTCTTTCTCTCTCGCGCTCCTCGTTTTCTCGTATAGATAGTTAGTTGTCTGTTGGTCCAGTCACTTCCACCACAAGTGACCGGTATCAAATTGGCGCCCAACGTGGGGCACATAAATTGTTTCGACACTTTAGGTTCTGATGGATATCAGAACGGATCCAACACCCTAATGTCTCCAACTCCAAACCGAGCTAGTCACCCTTCTTCTCCGTCCCATTCAACCGAGAGAAATTTGCGAGATTTACCCAGTCGAAGAGCAAATAGACTGTTCCACACACCGCCTACCATTAAGCGCACTCCGCCACCTAATCGCGAGTCAGGAACTAGTCTAAATAAACAAACCTCTCTGCTCACCGGTTTAAGCAACCTCACTTCCATCGACCTTCCACGTTTTGAGCCTCCACTTAGTGAGACCGCAGAGTCCCAATCACCTTTGACGTCCTCTGACTCTTCAGAAACATTAACTTCTGATATTGCAAATAGAGAAAATAACAAATCTCCTGCAATTAATATCTCGGCTACTACTACTTCCGGGAACATTACAAAAGACCCGGTGGCGCCCAACATTAATTCAAATCCTACGATCCCCACAATGGACATAAACACTAATTCGGATGGTCCCTCAGGATTCTTAAGGGGGGAAGGAGGAGGAGCCTCAAATGACCTTATAGGCTCCTTAGTTGTCTCTGCTCCTGCTGGGTCTGACACCTCAGGCTCTGGCTCAGGCTCGACCTCTGCAGTATCTGCACCGACCTTCCCGTTAGCAATGCCATCTAATCTGTCATTCGATGATTGGTTGGGATTGATTAGAGCTTTCCAATCACCAGCCCCTCCTTTCCCTGAATTTAACGGCAACGACTATGAAGACCCTCAGAAATTTCTTCTCAACTGTGAGAAGTATTTCTGCTCAGCACGCACGGACTCTGACCAACAAACCCAACTTGTTAATAAAGGACTAAAGGGGGACGCCCAGAAATGGTGGTCGGTATACAAAGATTTATCGCTACCCTGGGAAGATTTCAAGGAACTGTTTCTTAAAAAGTACACAGGTACCACCGCGATCATGAGACTTCAAGCCTCACTTTACTCTCAGAAACAAGGAGATAGAGAACCCGTTGCTGTTTTCCTGCAACATAAATATATGTTGGCAAAGCGACTCCACGTTCAGCTAACCGCCGCTGATTTGACCACACTATTGCTCGAGTCTATAAAACCGACTCTTAGGCGGTTAGTACGCCCAACAAATCCGCAATCATTTGCTGAACTGCTAGAAGCATCGACTAAGGCCGAGCAAGACGAGGCTGACTGTGCTCCTCGCAAACCAGTTCCGACCAAAGAAGAACCCCAACGACGCCCAGCGCAAGAGACTTCAAATTCAAGGCCTCAGCAAGCTCCAGCCTGTCGCTTTTGCCCAGAATACCATCTCCACCGGGACTGTCCAGTCCTTCAGGCGCGTCGCAATCAAGCACCTCCGGAAAACTGGCGAGCTTCGGCGGCTGCAACCTCGAATACGGCCGTCGAAACTCCATCCCAATCTTAAGTGCGATCTACTCGCTCTCGCAAGAGTTACCTCGGACCCGAGTGCGTATCAGTAATCGAGAAATCGTGGCCGAAATAGACTCTTGCGCTTCCCATAACTTTGTGAGGTTAGCAGTCCTAACAGCTCACGAACGTTCCGTCCTTAAACCTGGTCCCTCTCATGCTAAGCTAGCTGCAAATGGAACCTCCGTCAAGTTACACGGGTCCATCACACTTTCCCCTCTCATCGGTAGCCAAAGCTATCCAGGTACCTTCCTCGCATGTAGTGAACTGCGTGCTGATCTTGTTTTGGGCAGAGCTTGGCTTAAGGACCATGAGGTCCAACATGATCACCGAGCTGATTGTCTATATCTGGGAAAGAAGAGTAGACAACAAGTGTATTTAACACCCTTACCTGCATCGCTTACTGGACCTATAGAACCCCTAGAATTCGACTTATCTGCCCTTCCGTCCCAATATAAAGATAAAATAGAACACATTCTTAAAACATACGAGTCGATTTTTTATAAAGGGGGACCGTTGCGCCAAACTTTAGCAGCTTGTCATGAAATAAGAATACGCAACCCGCAGCCATTTCGCGCCGCACCCCGTCGGTATTCAATAGAAAAGAAGAGGTTTATCGATTCTGAGACCCGAGAAATGCTCGCACAGAACGTCATAGAACCAACCACCCAGGATTTTAGCTCCGCCATAGTAGTTGTGGACAAACCTGGAGGAGGGTACCGCCTCTGTATTGACTACCGCCCAGTAAACGACCAAACTGAAGACGCTCCTCAGTGCCTACCCAGAATCCATGAAATCCTAAAAATTATAGGAACAGCCAAGATTTTTTCCACTTTAGACTTTAAAAGTGGATACTGGCAAATACCTATGTCTCCCGAGTCTAAAAAATTCACAGCTTTTTCCACGCCCGACGGAGGACAGTACCAATTCCGAGTAATGCCTTTCGGCTTAAAGAACGCACCTGGCACATTCCAGAACCTTATGAGAAAGGTACTTGCCTCCTACTGGGGTGATTTTTGCGTTGCTTACCTAGACGATATTATCGTCTATTCAGACTCGTGGGATCAACACATTCGACACCTCGCATTGGTGTTGGAAAGGATTATGACCTTTGGTCTTATTTGTACCCCGGCCAAATGTCGCTTTGGTCAAAACAACCTGCCATATTTAGGTCACGTAGTTACCTCCGAGGGCAACGAGGCTCAATCACGCCATATTGACGCCATTCAAAATGCCTCACCTCCGCGAACTAGAAAACAATTAGCTTCTTTTCTGGGAACCTGCAATTGGCTGATGGAGTACGTGCCCCGCTACGCTAACCTAACAGCCCCTCTCACCGATCTACTGTCTGTTAAAAAAATTTTCAAATGGACCCAAACCCATCAAGAAGCTTTCGAAACTATTAAGGAAGTCTTCAAACAACCCCAGGTATTGAGTCGACCGGATCCGAACCTGACTTTTATCCTACAAGTGGAAACTAGTGACATTGGAATGGGAGCCGTCCTTTTCCAGGAACCTCAAGCAAGAGAGAGGAAAGTGATCTCTTATTCCAGCGCGAAATTTAGCCCTGTAGAAACGCGATACCCACCTGACGAGCAAAGTTGTTTGACAATTGTGTGGGCATTTAAGAAGTATCGCCCCTACTTAGAAGATCGGCCTTTTATCTTACGAACTGACATAAAGTCTCTCTCTTGGCTTAATCAGGTTAAAAACACGAGAGCCAAATTAACCCGTTGGCACATTCTCCTTGAAGAATTCAACTTTACTGTTGAACATACGCCGAAGGCAGACCGATCGTTGCCCAGAGCACTCGCAATTAATCCCGACCCTCTAGAAAGAATTCCATGCGAGGCCGACCTGGAAAGAATAGAATGTCCGGTAAAAAGCATATCCGGAATAACTGAAGAAACCACGCCAGTCATCAACGCCATCTACGGAACGACTCTTCAAGAAGAAATTGTGGAACTTCAACAATCGGACCCGACTATCAGCCGTCAAATGAACGAATGGATCGGTTACGAAAACAACGGAACCACTACAGAACGAGAGAGAGCGTTCCACGAAGGAAACTACTTGGATGAAAGCGGTTTTTGGAAATATTCGCCTAGTAACAACCGCTGGCAACTACGAGTTCCAGAAACCTTGAAGCAACGAGTGTTATGGGAATATCATGACGTCCCGCTAGCGGGACATCCAGGAGCCGAAGAAACTACCCGCAGCATCCAAGAGCACTTTTTCTGGGCGGGTGTAGGTCGAGATGTTCGACGTTACGTCGCCAAATGTCATTTATGCCTCTGTTCCAAACCAATTCATCGTCGGATTAATATTGGACAGAAACCCCGTAAACCTAAGATTGCGTGGGAAACCGTAGCCTTGGACCTTATGGGTCCTTATCCCTTATCTATTAAGGGCAATCGTTTTATACTCGTTGTCACCGACCTTTTTTCGAGATGGGTAGAAGCATTCCCTATACGCAACTCTCATGCTTCGACCATCGTCAGAATTTTGGAACAAGAAGTTTTCTCCCGTTTTGGTTATCCAAACCAAATTCTAAGCGATAACGGCCCTCAGTTTCGTAGCAAACTGTGGACCGAGATGGGTGAGAAGTGGGCTTGTACGTTGTGGACAACACCAGAATACCATCCACAAGCGAATCCCACCGAACGCCGGAATCAAGAAATAAAGAAAGGCCTGCGTCTTCGTCTACACGATGGAAACCAACGAATTTGGGATCAGCAACTCCCCAAATTACTATTTGGACTTCGCCGCAGGAGGAACGCCGCCACTGGTTTTACTCCTGCTTACCTAACTTTTGGTCGTGAGATTCGTCGTCCAGGAGAATGGCAGTTACGTCCAGTCGTAGAGAACGAAAGAATCTTATCAGCTGCTCAGCGCGAGGCACAAGTGTCTAGAAATCAGGCCCAGTATCAAAAGCGATATGCAGGGCCAATCATGGAATCACCGTTCAAGGTAGGAGATTTAGTGTATGCCAAAAATACACGGCCCTCTAACGCCGCTGAACGTTACAACGCTAAATTAGCACCCTCTAGAACTGGACCTTACCCTGTGATTAGGATTATATCACCGGGTGTTCTCTGGATCCAAAAGGAAGAGGGACCCCACAAAATGTATGCAGCGGAATTAATTTTAGCTCCACCTTCCAATGATCAACAACCTCAACATGAAATCGCTGAAATACCCGAAATACAGCCTTCGACAAGATCAACTACTACTGAAGGGAAGCCTTTAGAGTCAAGTGAAATGACTGACGGTCCTGACGGATCGTTACACAATGTGGCTGAACAAGCTCAAGTTATTATCACTCTCGACTCACAAGCAGCCCATGAACCTAATTCTTCAACTTCAAGTTCTCGGCCCACGCTTACGCCGCAACTTAAGAATCTAACTATTTCTGCTCCAATCGACGCGACAGAAGTTAGGATGGAATTAGGACGCAGCAGCTGCGGTCACTCGGATGAGTCGACCCAAATACCAACCATGGTAGATCATTCTTCTTTATGTAGACAACCAAGGCGCCATCAACCATCTGAAGATGCAG